ATGTATACTTATTCGACATAGTGGCACTGCTTATCATTTCCATGTTTCCTTAGCCTTCTTCCTGGGCTCAAGTTGACCGCATTTTCATTTGTCAATACAATTCATCTCACCTTTTACACATAAAGTAGCCTAATATAAGAGCTATGTTTACCGTGTTCACACTTTGCAGGAGGTTTGAAACGGTCTATTGAAATTTTTAATATGAACGCATGAGACAGAAAGAATCGCTACTTTTGTTCAGTGTTTATTGCCTTATTGGCAAAACATATACCAGATCACAGGTCTGCTCTACCAGACAATTTTGATGGTTGAGGAGAATGCCAGTTTTAGCTTACATGAATTCACTGCTTATAAATTGTTTGTCCAATCATCTTGAAAAATGAATCAACTTCACTTTCATAATTTTACTATTTTTCAGTTATTTTTGTAGTAAATAAAACAAAAACATTATTACACTGCACAATCTAAGCGTGTGACGTTTTTTTTGGCAGAGATCCTAAATCCATCATTGTTGAATATACTATCCCATACTTTTATTTGTACCTTTTGTTAGTTTTCCGGTAGAAAAAAAAAAGCTGGCGACAACAAGGTTAATGCGACTAAATATTTTGAGTATATAATAATACATTTTCACATGTCGAAATTGAGCAAAAAAAAAAGCAGTTTCAAAGTATGAACATGTAGACATTATCTCTGGTTCGATCAGGACTTAGGCATGACTAAACATGGTTTTCATTCATTGTAATTATTTTATTTCGGTAAAAATTCATTGTGATTAATGCCTCTACATATATACACAAAGCCATTTTTTGTTTTAAAATGTTTTTTTATTAGCCTTTCTGTTAAACACATATTTATAAGCTTTAAAATGCATTACACTTTACAATAGTACTATATAGTTTTCAAAAGCTAATTTAGTGTTCATAACAATGTCATATATTGAATGATGAAAAAGTAAAATGCACATTTCTCTACGCTAATCGTTAAGGAACCGAGTAAAGAAAACTAAATTTCCAAAAGCTAATTTAGTGTTTAAAAGAATGTAAAAAAAAATAAAAAAGGAAAACCCTAACAAAACTTATATCACAATTATTAAAAAGTGCAAGTCACAAAACCAAATGCAAATCTGCAAACAACAATAACTTATCACTGAGTAGATAACTACACATATAGGAAAAACAAAAGAAACACAATTTTATTAAAAAAGGAAGAATACAATAACTAAAACCTGAATATAATTAATCATATAGTAAAGACCAGCTTAAAATATAAATGAAAAATATACACCATACAAAGAATCAACATCTAGATTGAAAGGGAAATAGAAAAATAGATACTTTCACAAAATTAAAAAGATCAAAAATGGAAAACTAAAAATTCAGTTATAATCCCAAAATAAATAAAAAATAAAAGTTATATCAAATAATCATATGCTCCCTAATTTAAAACTAATGAAAACAGTGCCGAACATTAGTATTCACCGTAATATCATTAAAAGACTTTACTTCAACAATTTCATAAAAATACTCAGAATTTTAAATGATAAACAATACAACAAAATATAACATTATGTATAAGTCAAAGGAGAATAACAACTGTAAAGCAAAAAATAGTATTAAATTAATTTCTCTATTTAGAGTATTCATCATGCCTTCCATTGTTTGGTTTCAGAAATAGAAAATCTATTAGATAATATATTAGAATATATGTTGTATAGAGTATAAATTTTTAGAAAGACATACTTCAAATCTAATAGAAAAACAAAAGCAAAACTAATGAAAATATATAGCTCATAAATAAGAATAAAAAAATACAAATTTAGACAAAATAACTTATGTAGTAAAAAAATATTAAAATTTACCAAATCCATATTGCACAAACCGCGCGTAGCGCGGTTAAAACTTCTAGTTAATATAAGGCTTATAGCTTGACTATCGTAGAAACTCAAAAAAATTACTTGAGCACACACGAAGATACTACCACAAATAAATTTATAAATATATGATTTTAAATGTGATTTTATAAATTTAAAATGGACATAATACATTTGTCACTTAAAATAAATAGAGAAATTAGTACTCCTACCAAAGAAGTTTTGTGTATATAGTGATATACCAAATTCAACTATTCCCAAAATGAGTACATTGTTTTTGGACTCTACTACCCCTACTCACATTGTTACATAGAGTACCGGGGTGTATAGGTAAAATCTTCCAAAAAGATTTTGTAAGATCTTATCCTCTATATTATTTCTCACATTCTCCTTTTTCATATCTCCAAATAAATTTTATGTTTCGATCATTTGCTTTCATTTCTCCAACTAAATTTTATGTTTATGTCATTCTCTTTCATCTATCAGATTAATCGATTTTACAAGCTAGCACACTGAATTTTTCTACTGGAATGTGCAAGAGAAAACACCGGTCAGATTCATGAATCTTTCAAGCTCTGTTGCATTTTACAATACCTAGATGTGTCGTTTGAATGGAATACGAGAGATCGACAGCCCCGCCGTGTATTATACCAAAGAGAATCAAGCGGAATCCTTAAACCGAAAGATTAGTAAAACAAAGCCTGGATCTTCCTCCTAAATACATGATGGTATTGACGTGGATGTTGTTGCTACTGTCGTGAAAGCTAGTGTTAAGGACAACTTCTCACGCGTCAATGTTCTTGCCGCAATCGCTATCATCATAAGCATGTCTAAGAACTAATTGGTTTCTTGTTTGTGCTTAATCTTTTTTCAACCTTTTTTTAAGGTTACCTCTGTTTTTTCAAACAAGGATGTTGTGTTTCGTTCCCCGCATGTTGTTGTTGTTGTATAATTTTGGAGTTAATATGTGTGGATGTTATATATTGTAAAGTTATGTGGATCCAACAACATATGTGCTTCTTTAATTTAACCAACACTCTACATTTCCAAAAATCACTGCACACACATCTTTTGGATAACAATTTAAATATATTGATAATATTATATTTGGATGTCCAATGTTTTTAGGTCACCTGCTCAACTATTTGTTCCACTTTAATTTATACACGTTGACAAAACTAGTAAATATGTAATGGCTTGCTATTATCATATTTGCATGGCCACTAGTATCGATAACCGTCCAATTAAAGCTGTAGCCGTAAGTGTGTCCATGTTTGTGAGATAAATTCTTTGTACTGAATCAACGTGGAGCGGTTTATAAAACAACAATGTATTTTCCCCTTTTAGTTTGGGGTATAGGGTTTAGTGGTATCTTTTGTGATTTGGGTTTAGGGTATTGTTAATATTATATTTGGATGTCTAACGTTTCTTGTAACCGCTGAATTATTGGTTGCAGTTTAGTTTATACATGTTGACAAAAGTTTATTGTACCATAGCAGTGAATTTTAGGTAATTGAAAGTTAGGTTTCTCATTACCGTTAACAAGGTATCAAACAAGTTACACATCCAGTTACAAAATTAACAAACAATCTTATATCATAGACTGTGATAGATTTAGGAGTTTTGATTTATGTTTAAAACTATAGAATGTAGGGGTATAATAATTTATAGCTAATCTTATTATTGACATATTCATTAATTATGTTAGCCATCCAAAAAGATGGTAACTATCATCAAGAGTTGATTGATGGATAATTAAACTTGTTACTAGCTCGCAAAATTGGTAACTGTAAACTTTATTCAATGAATAGTCAGAAAATTAATTTAGCCAGATAACACTATAGTTATCCATATAATAACAAAATTGTACATCTATGTTAAACTCTAGGCAGCTAATAATCGGACGACATCATATACAACATGACTAGCCCTATATGCGTTAGGGTTTAGAGTTTTTTCTAGGTTTAGGAGTCTTATATGGGTTAACGGTTTAGGATTTTAGGGGTTAGGCTTTAGAGTGTATGAGTTAAGGTTTAGGGTTTTTAGGGTTTAGGGTAAGGGTTTACAAGTTCTATAAGTGTTTAGGAATTAGGGATAGGGTTTATGGGTTAGGCATTAGGTTTTAGGGTTTAGTGTAATGGTTTAGGGTTTATGGTTTAGAGTTTAAGAGTTTAGGGTTTAGTGGTCCTATAAAGATTTAGAGTTTGGATTTATGGTTAGAGTTTAGATTTTAAGGTTTGGTGTAATGGTTTAGGGTATAGGGTTTAGAGTTATGGGGTATGGTTTACGGTTTGCTGTTTAAGTGTATCGAGGTTAGACATGTCCATGATTTGAGGTGTAAAGATTTACTAATTTGTGCTTTTTAATTTCTCAATGGTTTTGGGATTAGCTTGCAGGGTTTAGGGTCTAGTTCTTTATGTGGAAAAAGTTGCTAGGGTAAGGCAATCAGTTTAACCAAATAATATTCCACTGATTTGCTATTCAGTAATTTAGCTGGTTACACAATTGATAATCTAGTCTTTTATATATACGCATACAGATAGGAAAATAACATATAATTATCAATTAAATTAATTTCTAAATAAAATCTCACTGAAATCTTTGCTAAATAACATATAGTTATCCTCTTGCCATTGTATATTTTGGTTTACGATGTAAGTCTATATAATGTGAACACAATTTTTTTACTATCTTACCAAATCTAACTACAAATCATGTGTCAGACACAAATCCTACAAATCTAAAACCAGGAAACATATATCTCAAATATCCGGGATAAATGCGTCTTTTTTACTCCTCGCAAGTTACCATGTAGGCACAAATTTCCTGTTTTTGGTTTTTTGCTAATATCACTGTCTTCTTTTGGTTTTAGCCTAAATTGCTCAAATAAATATCTATTACTAAGTCATCTTGGAAAAGTCAAAGCAATGTTATTCCCCACCTCCAAAAACAAAGAAAAAATCAAAAGAATTGAAAAATATAACTACAAACTGAGAGAAATTTGCGTGGCCACAGACACACGAATCTACCGCTGCAAATTAAACCCAAGTTAAACTATATATAACTACATTCGTAACTAGTGCTTAACACAATTTCTTTAGTTACTTTTAATTACGAAGACAACAAAATGGACATTTTACATAGCCGTCGTCGAGGCTACATCTTGCTTCTAGTTCTATCTTATTTCTCTGTGTTTGGTTTTGCTTCCAGTATGAATATTTCTAATGATGCAAGAGGCAGCAAAGCCGACGACGACGATATGCCGTTCATACCTGAAGCTGGTTCCACTGATTATGGCACGGACACGGGCAAGGAATATATTGTGTGTTCAGAATCTAATATCACAGCTCCGTGGGATATTGGTTGCCAGAAAACATCTAAAGATAATGATGTGAAAACATCTAAAGATAAAGATGCTAAAACATCTAAAGATATTATTACAAAGATCAATTTTGCTGATTATGGCAATCCTTCCGGTAAGTGTGAACACTATAGACACGGAAAGTGCGGCTCACCATATACCATGAAGGTCGTCAGAAAGGTTAGTAAAATTAACGATATGTTCTGTGGATTAGTGAGCAATAAATATCTCAATGAATCTTATTGTGAAGTATAATTTATGCAGAATTGTCTTGGAAGACACAAGTGTGTGTTTGTGGTTACGGACGAGATGTTTGGTCGGGCTTACTGCCCAAAAGATGTTAAGTTCTTTCTTCAAATCACATGTACAAGAAGAGCTTAGGCTTCTTTTTTGCTGGTCTTTAAAAATAAATGGTTGCATAGTTTGTTTTCTTGTAATAAACAAGTTCCTGTTGATTTTACTTTTTGAATGTCGGATATAATTAAGTTCTTTATTCTATTTGTTGTTTTCCAACAAGGATTGATGTTGATGCACACAGATCAAACGATCTTAACCACTTGAGTTTTTGAGAAATTTAGATTTGTATCTTTTGATTGAAGGAGAATGAATAAGATCGCATGATTAATCTGGGAATGCCCTGACTACAACTTGCTAGATCAGCTGTGCCATGTGCGTTACACACTGGCTGAAAATATGAATTTTGTGAAGTATTTAAAAGTTGGAACTATGCAGTAAACCCGGAAAATTCCATATTTTAATGTATTAAACATGTTTAATTCGTGTACCAAGTTAAATTGTGTAATGAAGATCATATATGAGCTTACAACCCTCGCTGATTTTTGTTTTTGTTATTTACCTCATCATATGCATGTGTTATATGTAGCTCTACAGCACGGAACCTGTAGTAGAGTACAAATGATCATTTTGTCACCACAGTTCACAAAAACTTAATCTCATGAAATTCTAAAAATTCTGATTTTCACCAACCGAGACTAGAAGTGCAAAATTGGCAAATTAGGGTTGATTTGGATTATATCTATACGTAGATTTTGACCCAAAAAAAAAAAAAAAATCTATACGTAGATGATATTATTTGGATTAAAAAATTATGTTAACTAGTTTCTCGAATTAAATTTCAATATTTTACTTTTAATAAACATATATGCTTTTTAAAAATGATTTTATATATTTAAAATGGATCTAATATATTTTTTCACTCAAAATAAAAATCTATATCGTGGAAAAGTCAAAGCAATGTTATTCCCCACCTCCGAAAACAAAGAAAACTTCAAAATAATTGAAAAATAGAACTACAAACTGAGAGAAATTTGCGTGGCCACACCAACACACGAATCTACCGCTGCAAATTAATCCAAGTTAAACTATATATAACTACACTCGTAACTAGTGCTTAACACAATTTCGTTAGTTACTTTTAATTACGAAGACAACAAAATGGATATTTTACATAGCCGTAGTCGAGGCTACATCTTGCTTCTAGTTCTATCTTATTTCTCTGTGTTTGGTTTAGTTTCCAGTCTGAATATTTCCAATGATGCAAGAGGCAGCAAAGGCGACGACGACGATATCCCGTTCATACCTGAATATGGTTCCACTGATTATGGCACGGACACGGGCAAGGAATATATTGTGTGTACAGAATCTAATATCACAGCTCCGTGGCGTGTTGCTTGCGAGAAAACATCTAAAGATAATGATGTGAAAACATCTAAAGATAAAGATGTTAAAACATCTAAAGATGTTATTACAAAAATCAATTTTGCTGATTATGGCAATCCTTCCGGTAAGTGTGAACACTATAGACACGGAAAGTGCGGCTCACCATATGCCATGAAGATCGCCAAAAAGGTTAGTAAAATTAACGATATGTTTTATTTGTGGATTACAATTAATAAATATCTCAATGAATCTTATTGTGAAGTATAATTTGTGCAGAATTGTCTTGGAAAACACAGGTGTGCGTTTGTGGTTACGGACGAGATGTTTGGCCAGAGTCACTGCACAAAAGATATTAAGCTCTTTGTTCAAATGACTTGTACAAGAAGAGCTTAGGTTTCTTATTTGCTAAACAAATGGTTGCATTTTTTGTTTTCTTGTAATAAACAAGTTCTTGTTGATTTTTCTTTTTGAATGTCCGATATAATTTAGTTATTTATTCTGTTTGTTATTTTGCAACAAGGATTTATGTTGATGCACACAGATCAAACGATGTTAACCACTTGAGTTTCTGAGAATTTTAGAATTGTATCTTTTAACTGAAGGAGAATGGGTAAGTGAAAGAAAGAAGAAGTCAAAGGCTGTGTGTCACCTCATAAAAAAGAGTAACTAGTTAATTTTAGTTAAAAGCAAAATAAGCAACTAAAGCAAATTGTTTAGTTTTGCTTGTAAACTTAGTCATGGATAAATGATAGTTGTTTGAGAGAGAGAGAGAGAGAGAGAGAGAGAGAGAGAGAGAGAGAGAGAGAGAGAGAGAGAGAGAGAGAGAGACGTAGATACATTCAGTTTCTGAACTAATCTTTCACTGCGGTGACGTTTAATCGTATTCCTTGCATTTAGTGTTTTTTAGAACATCCAATATCACGGACTAATTCATAAACTCTCTCCCACCATCTTGAAACTTATAATTAAAAACCGCTGTTTTCTATTAGCTCACTGCAGTAAAATCTTTCTAAAAACACCTTACTAGAGATCAAGTTCTCTCAGGTTCTTCGAAAAATCACTTCCGAAAACTCTTTCCCAAAAGTGAAACAAAAATTTGGAAAACAGTTTTGCCTTCTCGACAGATTCAACCTCTCAAATTGAAACATGAATAGCTCTCAGAATATACTTATATATTGAACAAAGCTGGAAGTACATGAAATATGAGAGATATATCCAACGGCACCCAGATCTCTTTCTGGATTGTTCTAGATCGATTACCATCAGGTTCGCGTGGCAAAACGGGATGTTCATAGAGATTCAGAAGTGCAGTTGAGATTAAGTACAACAGAAAGAAGAACCTGAATAAAATCGCTGCAGCGCATTATATTCAATTGAGTACGTCGAAGATCATTGAAACCTTCATTACTTTGGCTCCATATATATTTATATAATCTTACACTATTAAAAGCTCTTAATAAAAACTTTTGGAGCTGTCTGCGTAGGACAATTTAATCGACCAAGGGCGTCACATGGTTCTGCCATGTCATTCTTAATTAGGTTGTTTTGGTGTTTATCGTGTAAAGTTGTTTTTAGGCCGTATGTTTAATTTACGGTAACGCTTAGCCCATTACAAAGACCGCACAAAACCGGTCCTTCATTTTGGGCTTTCTTAACATTTTTAAACAGCCCATTAACTAGCCAAACAATAGGTCAAAGGATCGTTGTCTTCTTCATCTCTCACGCCGAAATACTAAACTCATGTTCTCTTCAGATCTTTAGGTGTAACGCTTCAGTGCACAATTATGATTCACTATAGCATCTCTTTACTCTCACTAGTGAAATTGACGCAATCTCTTCAAATCCCCTATCCGCACACCATAAATCCCCGTCGTCTCTCTTTGTTATCCCATGGATATCAAGACTCCATAATCAACTCCAACCCTTACAGCCTCTTGGCCTCTCCCATCCCCCTTGAATTCTCATTTTTACATATTGATACGATTTCTTAATCTCAACTTCACTCAGAAAACGATTTCCAAATCTAAGATGTACAACGACGCTGGATATACTCGGCAAAACATTGGTAAGTTATCGCATTTATTCATCTAATTCTCATGAATTTATGAGATTGCTAGGAAACCATGTTTAGGCTTTCGAAATTGAAAACTGACATTTATTCTGCTCCACAAAACTCATTTCTACTTTGCCCATTTCCGTCGGTTTAATTCATATTTGGTTTCGTCTATGTTTACATGAACTTACCAGATTTGTTCCAGTTGCAATCACCATATTTGTACGTGAAACAAAGTAAGTTATTGTCTTTATCAGTTATATCTCATATTTGTTTAATTCTGATTGTTTTATCATGATTCATCGATCTTAATATGTGAATATGAGGAGAAACTAGATAGAGAAATCAGGTTTCCTTCCTCGATTGTTGAATCCATTATAAGGCAAACACAAAATCGTAGATTTCTCACACTTTTTAAATTTAAGGACCGTCTGACTTCGATACATATTTGTTGTTATCAAGAGCTCTCCATAGACATCTCCTGGTAAATTCCTTTTCTCTATATTCCTATGAATGAATTATTTTTACTTCACCTTCTTAGTGAACTTTATGTTCGTATATGTATTGGTTTGTACTTTGATATAAAATACAGCTCTCTTGTGCTTAATTATATACTCCTCGGAAAGTGGTCAAATTTTAAGGAGTTTTTCTTCGTTTTCACCTCTCTATGGAATACGATGATTTATATTTTTATGTCCATAGCTCAAAGAGTATTTACATCCAAAAATACAGAAAAAGCTATTTGATTTTTCCTAACTCTGTTTAGTATGTGTTTCAGTGACTTTTTACTTCCTATTCTGCTTCGATTTTTATGTTTTGGAATTTATGATTCATATTTACTTTCTGAAATGTAACCTAGGGTGTATATGTTTGTCTTACTTAATCTTTCTTTGATGATACACATGGAATTGAGTAGAAAATAAGATAATAAGATAGGGAAGAAATACGAGATTAGAATTGGCGTGTGAAGTTGTAAAAACATTTTGAAGTAAGTCCACATCTTCTGAAGAAGTGTTAGCATCTAGGAAGGATCGAAGTTTGGGGAGAGTGGAGTCGGGGAGTTCGTCTCCAATGGAAATTGCGGAGGAGATGGTAGTTGAGAAGGATCTGGTGGTTGTGTTGGAGCTGTGGCGGCTGCTGAATTGAGGGAGAGATTAGGAGAGAGAGGGCATGTGAAGAAGTGGGACTTGGGAAGAGGGATGGTTTGGCAACGGATATGGCGGTGGATGAGGATGAGGATGAGAAGATGAGTCTTGAGACAGAGAAAAGTGCAAAATGACGCAATTCACATTGTAACCTACTTCTCGATAGGCTTTTTTATTTATTGGAAGTTTCTATTCAAAACAAGACTTTGTCTCACGTGGGCTCTTGGGTAAAGGATTCTAATCATCTTAATGTGACTCTTTCGATCTGGGCTTATTAGGTTAGTACTTGATATGGATGTCAATTAAGGGTTAGGTTAGTACATTAGCTATGGTTGGTATTTGTAAGCTCTCTCGAATGTATCAATATGCACTGCGTTAATTTCATATATATATATATATATATATATATATATATATATATATTAGATTTTTATAACTATGGGAACAAGCTAATTAGTATAAAAATAAGACACTACGCACATCCAAGTGTAAATTCCCATAAA